TATATATATATAAAGAATGGTTACAAATAGACGCTACTTATATGCTAATAATGGCAATGTAGAAACAGGAACCTGGCAGTACACCTCAAATAAGCCAGTGGGCAACCAGGCCGTACATACCATATGTCCTAAGGCTGGCATTTTTCCATATGCGATCAATAACGGAGACAATCGGATAGAAGCCATCGGAAGTTATAAACAGTGAAGTTTTTTTGTACGAATTAATTTTTTTTTTTTGTAGTTCTGTCTTTTCTTTCTTTTTTTTTTTATAGTTTTTGCATCACAGACAGTTTGAAGTACCTCTTTTTGTTTCAAAAGACAAACGAGGTAAATCGACAACAGGCATTGTCGTTTTCTTTATCTTCTGTTTCATTTCCAGTAACATAATCGCATCACAAGAACGAATTTGTTTAATCATTCAGTGGTTTTGGCATTAATCTTTATATACGTACGTAATAAAGAGATCAAAACGGTGAAAGCGGCTTAGAAAATGAATGTCGCTTGTTGGTAGTGTCAAGCACGACGCGCTCCTCATGCGACATCTCGACCCAATGACTTGGGAGAAATGCTAGGCGCCCCCGTGCCGGTATCGCCGTCGCAGGACATAGCATTATCGATTTCCTAAAATCAGGTGCATTCAAGGGAAGCGTTATGAAAGAAAGGAGTCTTTTGCAATAACTTAAATAGATCTCCCTGCAAATGACAGATATAGACGTATGAGATTCACGTCAATATTCGTGGTTACTACCCCCGCTATTAATCGTATGCAGGCGGTCCGTCAATCAGACAAAGTCTACCCTGTCACTGATTTTCGATTTATGCAAAAATCGGGATAGCAAGAAACTTTAAAACCTCGACCCCTGTTTTAGTCGGGTTTGATATCTGCGAAGATAATTACGAAGCAAGTCATAACTAGTATCATATATTAATACGAATGGGGTTCTGGCCCATACGCCTACCTGCACACGAGGTAACTCTGTTCCATCCTCAGCCGATTGCTGATCATGCTCAGAGGCACCAACGGAACCTAGTCGACCTAGACCCTCGACAAGGGGCGAACCGACGATCAAAATCGGCTGCTGGACAAACTGTGTGTAGCCATTCTGGTTCACCCACTGATTACAGTAAGAGACTGTGCCTGGAGTTATTTGTTGCTGTATTTGTTGCTGAGTTGACTGTTGTTGGTACAACTGAATCAGGTCCGGGATCGTGTTATCAGGATAAATGTTTGAAAGAGCAGGCTCGCACGGATAGGCCATCCAAAGGCCACTTTGTAAAGCATGAACTCTTTCATCTACGGCTGCGTCCGTAATACGAATGATGCGACCCAATATACTGAAAAAAAAACAACAAATAAGTAGAGGAGTACCATATTCTATACATGCAATCAACAAGCAAATCGGCGAGTTTAACTTTTAACACTGTTGTCTATGTCAAAGCTTTCCCTGTATAAATCTATTATAGGTTTATACAGGGAAAGCTATAGTTTTTTTCGACCTCGTCCTATTCTCCTGGATAGTGAGTAGCCTAATATAAACGTCGCTCAAATTTTTATATTTTACATGTAAATTAGAGAAAAAAAAAGTATTTAGTCGAAATATGAATAGTCACTCTGTTCTCATATAGTTAGTGAAATTTATTAAAATTCGAAATCGAGTAAATAAAAATAGAAACGGGCATACAAACACCTTAACCCAGGGGATGTTTCTTGAAAGGGCCGACTAATCACTGGATGTACAATGGACTCCAGATCAGCGAAAGCTTCTCGAAGCTTCTCTCGGACGATGTTGAAGTTAAAAGAACTGCGAGCTACATCATTGCCTGGTGTAAGTGGATCTTCTATGCTAAGCATCCCAGTAGCATTGCCAACTAATGAAGAACTTGTCGTCGCTGTGCAAGAGGCCATGCTAACCCGCAGTTCCGCCTTGTCAACCAAGGAACCGCCTGCTCGGATACGAATTCCTGCGAATGAACCGTCAAATAAGATCGTGTTGTCAGTTAGTAACTATACGATAAATACGTTGAATAAAAAACACTTGCCAACAAGCACTTGCAAAAGCATTCAATAGCTTATGATGCGTATATGGTAATACTCTCATCACATTTAGAGAAAAACTTTGGCTACCTAGCATTGATTTACGAAACAAAAAAATGTCTTTTCTTCATCTAAAATTATTTCCTTTGAAGTAAAGTGGGCTGGTATTCAGTCATGAGGCTGAAGCATTTATCAGCCAAGTTCTGTCTCCTAGCGAAGCTTAATTCGAAAACTATTCAATATCAGGTTCCGTCGGATTCGCCTGTAACGGCCTAACAGTATATGCGAATATACATATATTAAGATATATGTTTTTGGATTTTCTTAGGGCTTTGCTGACATTTCGCTTGTCGTTTGTGTATAACGACTAAAATATAAGTGCTAAAGTAGCTCTAGAGTCTTTGTGCATGAAGAGCCGCTGTACGTAAAAATGCGTTTGAACGTAAACTCCTCTGAAAACTTATATAAGAAGCTGAGAATTCTAAACGCCGAATCAGCAGATCCGAATAACACTATGCGTGACCACCATACTCCGAGGTTGTATTTATGCAGACCAAAATTGTCATAGTCGAATTCGTTGCCATAGTAAGATAGAATATTCATAAGGAGAGCGCCCAAATTGATTCGTGGGTCCCGGGCTGCGTTCTTGTCCGTTTTGAGTTGGAGGAAACTTAACTGCAAACAGTAAAAAGTTGATATTACACCAATTGGAGTTATTACTGTTAGTGTTACGGTCATTTTCTGTAAATTTACTTAGATGAAAAATTTAGGTGCGAGAAATGTCTGGCGGATACTCGCGAGCAGCAAACGTCCCTTCGTTGGCTCATGGAACCTTGAACTGAAAAGTTCGAGGTTCGATGAACCAACGATTTTCTAGTTTTGGCCTTTATTTTTGTCTAACACACGTTACCATCATTACATAACTGTTAAATGTATTAAATTATCGACTAGTTAACTCTTTGGATGCTCCGCATGCGCGCAACACAAAGTACTCACAATCATAAGAATGAGACTATAACTCGATAAGCCGCCATGAAACACTTCATTCAGGCAGAGCCCGCTGATAAATTGCTTGAGAACGAAGGCGAGCTTCTTGAGGCACGGAAATACTTCGCAACATCGGATTACAAAGCGAGCTGAGTCAGTACAATTGACCTGACGAGTCAAAGGGAAAAATCACGAATCGTAACATCCAATGATTTGTATATCTTAGCATTGAGGCACTGTATAAATATTTTAAATGGAAATATATTTCTCTCGAATGAACGTACACTTACTACTAATGTCAATGGACAAATACATATTTGTATGTGACTGTACAAATAGGGGAAAATATCTTGTAGCAGAAGAAGAGCGCAAGATCAATACGAAGAGAGTAAGAGAAGTGACTGCTCAATCTTTGTCCAAACAGCTTTGCTCCAATTATTTTTTAGTTTCCATTTTAACCGTAGCCTGCCTGATTAAAAGCGATGTCAACTTTGATGTTGGTCAGGGCATCCTGAAATTTAATCAGGGGAACGGTAGCTTTGTCGAGCACCCTGACTGACGAAGGGAAGGCTATTCGATGTTCATATAACACGCGTTCAAGGTCGTACAGAGGCGGAATTCCATCCCAGTGTCCTTTTACAATCTGAAAGGCAAAAATCAGGTATTCAGTGTATAAATTTTAGGACACTTTTTTTGCTCAGTCCTTAGTCACGAGGCATTATTTTGAACGTGAAGAGATACTGATAAATATAATATTAGGACAAACCAATATCCCATCATATGCATATGTACTTAATCAAATCTTGCAGAGTAGATCTGATTGTCTAATAGTCCGCAGACTTTTTTTATCTCTTAATAGGCTATATATCGCCTCATAGGCCCGATATATCAGTTTGAGTGAAATGTTTGCGGTACAATTAAGCCGTATTTATATA